TACACCCTATATAACTTGCCCTATAACTCATACCTTTTCCAAAGCATTTAGTGCCTTTCCTACAACATACAGCACCCGCACTGTAGCCTATGGCAGCCTGTAGCCTGTACAAAGTGCCACACTGTCGACGGCAGAACGTTGTAGGCCTACTGCCTCTTTGATCTGGTACTTTATATGCGGGAAGGACGACGTCTGCTAAGTTGCCAACAAAAGATTTATGGCTTCTTCACAGCTTCTTGACAGATGGGTTGGATGTTTGACTTTTAAGTGTTTGACTATATTAAACCTGAATTTCTCACGATTTTGGCAGGGTTTTGGGGTCGTGTGTTGTAAACTTAACACACACCTAATCCTTTCCACCCTATTGTAAAATGTATGAACAAATTTTAGAACCGAAATATTTTGTGAAATTTACTGTTGGTTAGTTTATTCATTCAATACTGGGAGGATTTTTACGATGGTATGTCTTCTGGATTACATTCTTCTGTCTCAAAATGTGAAGCTATTTCAAACCAAAGTATGTTGAGGTAATATATTTCTATCGTCTTTGGCAGAGATTCTTCCGGTTCATGTGTAGGACTTTGATTGTCACTTAACTGAACTTTTTCACCAGGTAAGTATATATTTAATACATTTTTAATAGCTAAACATTATTCGTATAACAAAAGTTTCAGTTGTGTACTTATTTATACATAGGCCTACTCGTAGCTATTTTATAGATAACCAGTGCTCTTATTACACAATTTTCCAAAGTAAAACATCTTTTCTTAAAATTATGAGAATATACCATTCGTATATACCATGGCAAAAAGTGGTTCGGATTCCACTATAAACAATAGTGGCGTAGGTCCCTTATTTTCCATTAGCTGTAGAGCTGTATGGGCTATTAATTAACAGCTGTGTCTAAGGATTATGTCGGCCTTAGTCACTAACAAGACTACAAGATCGCGCCACTCATCCCACACTCATCTCCATTCATACTTGGCTTAAAATACCTACTTAAGTCTGGTATGTCGCCATTTCAAAGAAAAGTATAAAGTATGTAAGGCGTTTTTGAAATGTTATCCTATGGATTAGGATTTGTCATAGCATTACCCTGACAAAGGTGTTACAGGAAACGAATAAATTATCGTAATATTTTCACTACGAATGCTGACCAAAATTTATAAATTATTCTTGCAAATTCCTTTAGTTAAAATGAGCAATGTATTTTCTTATTTGAATTGTTGCAGAATTACGACCACGTCCTTCGTATATACTGTACTGAAAAACCAAAAAGAAACTATACCCATGTATAACGGTATATATATTTACAATTTCTAGTATTTTATTAGGAATCAACACTAAATTGTACGTTTAGCAAATAGTGTACCTAAAATATAATTTATATCCTGACTAGCAAAACATCGCACCTCCAAATGTCAATGCAAGAATCGTTTACAGAAACACGGAAAGGCAAACACTGACAGCAAATATCAAAGTGTTTACTCAAAGCTCGAGGTTGACTTGGCTGTTTGCAATTCGTAGAACAAATTTGAGCGAAGCCTTGATGTAAAGGCGATTAAAGTAACTGTGTCATAGAGTGATGAAATTAGGTCAATCTTTGCTTCCGTAGGTAAGGCTATGGACATATTGTGCAATTATTTACTGGTAGGATTGTTGGACAAATTTCTTTGCCATTTTCCAACTACACTTTTCATAATGTTCTTTTTTATTAAGTACAATTTTCATCTCGAATGATGATTTTACGTTAGATGCACATTACCCGTATGTTATACTTATACAAAGAACATAGTTCCATGAGCCCCTCACAAATTGTGATACTGTAACCAGTGGCGTATCCACAGGGAGATGGGGGATGTCTCCCCCCCCCCAAATCATAAAATTATATACAACTTTATTTTTTATTTTATAATATAAAATAAAATCATCACTGTGTCACTGTGTGCGGGGGATGACTGTGTAATTTTAGACAAATCCTCATTTCTAACCCATAACTACACTAGCAAATCTTGTGATTTAGTTCGTAGATGCTTCAAGACCTCTGCTATGAAAATATAAATTAGAACATTTTCTGAAGGAGGTCCCAGACTCCAATCTCACAGGGATGTATTCCATATCCCTCGATGTTCCCCCTCCCTAATTTCCCCTATGTATTTGCCTTGACAAACTATTTTCTCCCTTAGTTTGTGATCATAAGATTGATATAGTTTATAATATGTTGACCTGCCAAATGGCTTAATTAAAAAGTTGGCGTATTCGCAGACTTCACAAATTGACATAAGCGTAATCTGTCGGTGGATCAGTTCAACTACGTTCATTTCCCCTAAAACTGCTTACAGATTGAATATAGAAATGGTGTGTCTATATCCATCAATCGGTAACACAGACGGTATCCATATATCGTACTCCAAAAAAACACAAGGCCCATGTATGAAATTAAGATGCAGTTTATGTAGCAGATAGATGTAGGAAGTTATGTGATCATATTTTCATATACAGTACCTTGAATATTCTGTTGTAATTTAGATTATACCTTTGTATAAGAAACATTTTGAAGATACGGAAGATTTCAGGTAAGATGGACATGGGATGCAAGTTAAAGTTATGTAACTTGGACGAGCCAAGTCGCGAAGAGCAAGTTAGTGAAAGTGTGATCAAAACAGAAATAAGGCCAGTGAGCGGACAAACGCTTAACCTTCGTCTGGACTACCTGACAACGTCATAGACCGGTGTCCGTAACTGTACTGTCACTGTGTTGGGTATAATATGAGTCTGAACTACCTGACAACGTCATAGACCGGTGTCCGTAACTGTACTGTCACTGTGTTGGGTATAATATGAGTCTGGACGACCTGACAACGTCATAGACTGGTGTCCGTAACTGTACTGTCACTGTGTTGGGTACAATATGAGTCTGGACGACCTGACAACCGGTGTCCGTAACTGAACTGTCACTGTGTTGGGTATAATATGAGTCTGGACGACCTGACAACGTCATAGACCGGTGTCCGTAACCGTACTGGTACTGTCTAGGGTATAATATGAGTCTGGACTACCTGACAACGTCATAAACCGGTGTCCGTAACTGTACTGTCACTGTGTTGGGTATAATATGAGTCTGAACGACCTGACAACGTCATAGACCGGTGTCCGTAACTGTACTGGTAGTGTCTAGGGTATAATATGAGTCTGGACTACCTGACAACGCCATAGACGGGTGTCCGTAACTGTACTGTCACTGTCTAGGGTATATTATGATTCTGGACGACCTGACAACGTCATAGACCAGTGTCCGTAACTGTACTGTCACTGTGTTGGGTATAATATGAGTCTGGACAACCTGACAACGTCATAGACCGGTGTCCGTCGTCAGTAACTGTACTGTCACTGTGTATGGTATAATATGAGTCTGGATGACCTGACAACGAGAGCGCTGTCCGTAACTGTACTGGTACTGTCTAGGGTATAATATGAGTCTGGACAACCTGACAACGTCATAGACCGGTGTCCGTAACTGTACTGGTACTGTCTAGGGTATGATATAAGTCTGGACAACCTGACAACGTCATAGACCAGTGTCCGTAACTGTAAGTTACTGGTACTGTCTAGGGTATAATATGAGTCTGGACTACCTGACAACGTCATTGAATATACAGGTCCAGGCAATATTAGGGTAATCATTTGAAACGAATACAGTATGTGTTTTCAGTTGTTGTCTTCCCCTAAGGAGAAAGTAAGTTTTCCCATCAGGACGTTGAAAAGTTCAAGTCCTTTTTACCAACTTTCATGAACGTATATCCCTCTCAATTCCCTCAATAACAACTCTGCATTTCGAAACGAGTACAGTAATTAAAGCTGGGGATTAATTATTTTTGGCATGGGTTAACTAATACAGCTCATTAACAGACACGGAATAACAACCGGACCTGTTTATTTTGAAACATGTGTTTTCTTATTTTGATTTAACGCCTTTTATTTTTCCATTTAGAAAAATGAGCCAACGTTTTATTAAAACCAAGAAGTATGATACACTGAGTCTTTAATATATTATTTTTCCTACAGTCACCCGACAAAGTGGCTTCCTTGTACTGTTTATAGTACAGAAAGCTGCTAATTGCTAATTTGTGTTGCCAGCTGAACCTAAAAACGTGTTGTATAGTGTTTGAAAGACTAATTATTTATATGCTTTATAGTGACTGTAGGAAAAATATAATGTGTAACACGAGTGCAAAAGGCCTGCAAGAAATATAGATAACATAAACATCCTACATATAAACTTGGTTATCAGTTTTTATTTTACAATTGAATCTTAAATATCCGTTATTCTGTTGTCCTATCTAACGTATTTACTGTCCCTCATTGCGGACAATCCAGTACCATTCAATGCTTGATAATTCCGAGTCGTATGACAACTATAATACAGAAATATTTCAACATAACCCAAGCTTTAAGCTTTGTATAGGTTTTACAACGGGAAAAATCTGCAGACATAATGATTTTTAAATAATGTTCTATGCTTTTCCTAGCTTTCTTATAATCCGACTTCACCACGGCTGATTTAGGACGGATAATCGAAGCCCATTTTGACTGATTTTGTACCTAACAGCCAACTGGTTTATTCCAATGTAATAGCTAAAATTTAACGAATTTAAGTGTTGGCGAGTATGATAACGCAATAATTATTACTGTAGTACTGGAGTTTCATTCAAAATAAATTTCGAAACAAATTTTTTTGAATATTTACCAAAGTGTTAAAATGTGTGGTGAAATATTAAAATATTTTACATACGTACGTGTCGCCAAGTTGTAATTCAAACGGTTTAGTTTATTTAGTTTACTCATAAACTACTATTGCGTATTCCAACCTTAAGTGACATAAAAGTAATTACCTATTTCTTTACTTAGTGCTTTATTCCAATGTAGCATAAGAGTCAAATAGTGATTGACTTATCATGTATTTTTAAACTACTCTTTGCAATATATATTGATCAACTCACCGGTATCTGGACGAGAGACCCGTTGTTTATAGTAGGGTAGGAGTACAGTGGCACCACAGGTACACTCCCGTTCTTCACCAAGATGGGACCCTGGATAGGCGTCACGGTCGGGACAGGGTTGTGACGCTGAGATGGTGGTAGAGCCTCCAGGTCGGGCTCATCGTAGTACTCGCCGTCGTCAAAGTCGTCGTCATAGTCTATGACGGCGTGGACGGAGGTTTTGCCAGAGCCGGGGGCACCACTGTTGACCCTCGTGTACCTAGTGTCCTGGTTGTACCCGGAGTACCCAGCCGGCTTGGGGGTGGCTGCCCGCGGGGGTTGGTACGGGGAGAGTGGAGGTCTGGGGGTGCTAAACGTCTGTCTGTTCTGCCTAGGAGGTTCGGGAGGTCTAGGGGGCTGAAGACTCTGAGGAAGATAAGGAGGCACCGAAGGACCCACGGGGTTGTACAAACCGGGAGATCCGAACAACCCCGGGAACCCGGGGAGAAACGGGGAACTGAAGTTGTGGAGCGCCATTTCACTAATCACAACACTGCGCGCACATGCCCTACGACTCGTCGTGTACACTGCGCATAGTGACTGTCGCTCACTGCGCACCGCGGGTCGACGGCGACTGCGCTCTCCACGCTGGACCTTGCTCCACCTGTCTCCCCTCCCTCACTATCTCTCTTACGCACACACTCACACTTACACTTACACAACCCGGTGGCCGATCTCTAAAGAATTGCACAAAATTATACTTATCATAGACCCCTATTAGTCATTCATCGGATCAGGGGCGGCTTTTTGCAACCCATTCATTCACAGACGTTTCTGGGTCGGAGTTATGAAATGGATAAGTGCTATCCCCGTTCATACACGTACGTGTACTCTTTGTTCATTCGTTTGTACTATGACACGTGATGTTGACTGTGACAACATTTAAATTTGGATGGACCTGAGGTCGACACTGGTGACTTTCAAATGATCAAATATCGCAAGAACCCATGGATGTCAATATAAACTACAGTACATCAATTTAGCCAGAACAAAAGTCTTCCCACACAAGATATCCCTAAAGAACATGAATAACTCCCAGACAAAATGTATATAAAATATAGCAAACTCCAAAATATTGATTAATATTAATGTACTATAAAATTTATACTTTGTTCTTTTTTATGCGTCAAGAATAGAAGTAATCCAAGAGATAGTCTCTCCAAGACATAAATAACAAAAAGGATCCAAATCTGGCCAGACAAACATGGCCATAAATTTTGTCTAACCAAATATCCATCCACAAAGAGGTATCTTTAAGACATGACTTTCTTCAGGATATACGATTAATAATTTAGAACAGAAGATTCTCCAGAAATATCCTTTCTAGCGCCTGGGCTCTAGCTAGAACGTACATCTGATCAGAACAAAATACTCTCCAGGAAAATTCTTTATCAGGCATAAGCACTTCAGGGAATAAACCTATCCAGAACAGTCTCTTCGGAAAAATTCCTTTATCAAATGAGACTAAAAGACATCTGGAGAATTTGGACAATCAGTCAAGAATAGATTCCTCACTAGGAAAAGGTCTAAGACATAAAGTGCTCAAGAGCACAAGTCCAATCAGAATAAAAGTCCTGTCTTTACTGCTATACCAGCCGCTTCCCTGTGTTTTGTAGCCAAACTATAATATTAATGTCTCACATTTACCAAATCCTGGATTCATAACCTACAACATTTACCTCAAACGCCTATTAAATTTCAATCACGATCGTGGAAGACATCCTGTAAGAGTTCCACTACGTAATCTCCACTTAATCACAGTCCGGCCGAGTTTAGGATACATGCCAAATTTAATCCAAGGGTTATATTTTAATTACACTTAGGTGTTGAAGGTCGTTGTTTATTATCAGCTGACCTTGCATCAGCGCTGCCAACGGCTGTTAATTATCGATTTCCACTGCTCTGATAAGTTCATTAACTTTATCTGATCGCAGTACACACACGACCGACGAGGCGCTGTTTTGTATACATTACCAGCTATGCGGATACTGTATGCTCTGAGTACAGATTGTCTGTTCTGTGCGGAGGTTGACTTGGGTAGGACATTTTATGCAAAAAAATGAATAATCATATTAAAAGTGTAGGCCTAAATACAGAATTACTCTGTTACTGGGTTACACCTGAGGCCTGAGGTCTGTTTCTTAATAAACTAACATTAGTAAATCATTACATAAATACGATGGGTGTTCAATAAAGACTGACAGTAGTATACATACGAACAAACTAAGTACAATAATTTGTTTTTCAAGTTGGTATGAAACATTAAAGTATTATCAACAATAGAATCAGCTGTAACATTATAGCATTATTTTTTTCATTACAATCGCCTCTAAAGTTTACTCGTACAAAACATTACATGGTCGTTGTAATTAAGATATATTAATAGTTCGTAGGCTCCCGGAGTTTCTTAAAAGCTATCTCTTGTGTAAAATTATACGTTATACCTTAATGTTCCTGTAGATAACAATGTTATAAACATCTGTGATCGTGAGTGAGACAAAATCGTGAACATCTGCCCCGATCACGGAGGGCATTAGGCATTATCTTTGGCCGCAATAGTGGAAAAAAATCGTGGGCAACTCCTGTGGACGCAGCATCATCGTAAACAGTTGCCGCGATCGAGGAGACAATGTAATCGTCTCCCACCATATCAAAGACATATTCCGCGATCGTGGAGTCAACGTCACTCACGATAACACGAAATTGAGGGTGTTTGGATCAAATCCTGCCAAATCTAGAAAAACCCAAATTAATTGTAGGCTCTAATTCCATCTTGAAGATATATTTTCCTGAAATTTTACCGAAATTTTGGGACCCAACTTTATGACATATTAAAATATTCATCCCAATGATAACAACTTATTCAACACTAATGTCAAGTACTACCGTACTAAGTTAGTGTTCTTTCTTTAGTAATTATCATAAACAAATCATAAAGTGATAGGAGCATGCAGGTATTCTCCCTAAAAGGTGAAACTATATAAAAATAATGTCCCTTTGATAAAAATATGCAATGTACAGACTTCTCTAATTTTTACTCCCAGCTGTAAGTAAAACATGTGATTGGAATTTCATCAAATTGTTTTGATTGTCTGTTTATAATATTTCATTGTAATTTCTTCGCCAGCATGGCAACCCATAAAACCCATATAATATTTTTGATTTGAAATTTGATATGTTGTGCTTATTTTTGAGCCTATTTTAATTTACAAAGGGATTCTGCACATCGATAGGAATAGTATATTTCAATACTAGTCACGACAGTCCCATTTCGGGGCGAGAAAAAGTTTTACAGGCGAATCGAAGACGAGCGTGGGAAACATTATCTCGCCCCGGAATGGGACTTTCGAGACTTGTATTGAACGATACTTTTTATCACGAGGAAAAGTACTTCATCAAACTTAAAAAAAATATCTGATATTTCGTAATCTATTCATTTTCCTAATCTCAATAAAAATAAAATAAAACGAGAGCTTCAATACTACAAATAATCAAAACTGCAAGGTAAATATAAATTTGAGGTTTTAAATTAAGTGTTCTTTACTCTATGTTCTATCAGATTTAATCGTGTTTTTTTAACTATTTATTGCTTTATTGTTGTTATTTATTGTTGATTTTGTTTTATAAGGCGGTGCAGTTGTTTATTATTTTGTTTCTTCTATTCAACGAAATAATAAACAACTGCGCCACCTTATAAAACAAAATCAACAATAAATAATAACAACTAAGCAATAAATTTAAAAAAAAAACACGATTAAATCTGACAGAACATAGAGTAGAGAAAACTGAAATTTAAAAATTCAAATTTATATTTACTGCGCAGTTCTGATTATTTGTAATATTGAAGGCCAATAAGATAGAACCAATTTGTCAAAATTGGCGGACTCAAACGTTGCTACATGAAACGTCAAAACGGGCTTCAAATTTTACAATCTCATAAGAAGTCTACTTGCAGTATGCAAACTAAAAATGCAACTTGGAACGGACAAGTCTCGAATCAACAAACTCCCAATCGCTTGTGTAAAATGTCGATCGCAATTGCTCAACGCATTACAACTTTAGCTCTACTGGATTGATTTACACACGAGGTCAACCCTAGATGAAAGGAAAGGTGGAAATACCAAAAGTTGATCCTGTTTGAGCGCGTGCGAGCGTTGGTAGATCGCCAACAACGTTCCTACACAAACACAATATACATTATACACTATACAATACAATAGAAACATTCTGTACAACTGTAATCTAGTATTGACTGTGGAAATCAATAATGTTGAAGTAATTGATGTACTTCCCTTCACTGCTGAGAGTTTGTAATTACAAGTGTTATGGTAATTATTGTAGATTTGTAGGTTTCACTTGGAATGTGCTAGGATTATACATTAATGTGGTTCTCATAAATGAAACACACTCAGTAGATTTCTCATATTTTTACGGCAGTTTTAAGGGATTTTTCTGTCATGATTGTGCAGAGGGTGTTTTGTTGTTTACTTTGTATTTCTTGTTACTTAGCCTACTTAAAACTACTTTAACTAAATATAGCAATCCATTCGTTAATCATGTTTTGTTCTCGTTATTTTGTAAAGTCCTTGAATAAGAGAAAACACAAAAATAACCCGAGATTAGGCCTAAACATATCGGATTTTTGTCATTGTTAATCAACACAACGTGACTATAAAGGTGACATGGTACGCAATCCCTTATACTCATTATCTCCAGAAACATCCTTTCCAGGACCTCCTAGAACACAGCTTACCAGAAAAGAGGACTTTCCAGAAACATCCTTTCCAGGGCCTGGGTTACTCTAGAACACAGCTTTCCAGAAAAGAAGACTTTCCAGAAACATCCTTTCCAGGACCTGGGTTACTCTAGAACACAGCTTACCAGAAAAGAAGACTTTCCAGAAACATCCTTTCCAGGGCCTGGGTTACTCTAGAACACACATCTTACCAGAAAAAAGACTTTCCAGAAACATACTTTCCAGGACCTGGGTTACTCTAGAACACACATCTTACCAGAAAATGAGACTTTCCAGAAACATCCTTTCCAGGACCTGGGTTACTCTAGAACACACATCTTACCAGAAAAGAAGACTTTCCAGAAACATCCTTTCCAGGACCTGGGTTACTCTAGAACACAGCTTACCAGAAAAGAAGACTTTCCAGAAACATCCTTTCCAGGACCTGGGTTACTCTTGAACACACATCTTACCAGAAAAGAAGACTTTCCAGAAACATCCTTTCCAGGACCTGGGTTACTTTAGAACACACATCTTACCAGAAAAGAAGACTCAGTATCCTTTCCAGGGCCTGGGTCACTCTAGAAAACACATATTACCAGAAAAGAAGACTTTCCAGAAACATCCTTTCCAGGACCTGGGTTACTCTAGAACACACATATTACCAGAAAAGAAGACTTTCCAGAAACATCTTTTCCAGGACCTGGGTTACTCTAGAACACACATATTACCAGAAAAGAAAACTTTCCAGGAACATCCTTTCCAGGATCTGGGTTACTCTAGAACACACATCTTACCAGAAAAGAAGACTTTCCAGAAACATCCTTTCCAGGACCTGGGTCACTCTAGAACACACA